GTGGATCCGCTTCCAGAAAATATCCCAGATTCTTTTTTTATTTTTTATTCCTCTCCTGCTTAAATTACGTCTTGGAGAGAAAAATGGTTGGAGGCAAGAATCTGTAGGTAGTTTCTTCATGGAACTCTGCTGATTAGACAGCACCGTGACAGCGTCTGAGACCGAGGGTCTGTCGCTATGCTTGGATACGGAGAGGGAGAGATCCACTCAAATGTTTCTATTCCCAAAGCTGGTCTCATGGTAAAGAGCACCTGTTTAAAATGAGTAACTCCTCACAGGGATGGAGCTGAGCAGCGATAGAAGTCTGCAAAGTCTGATAGCTAAACGGATTGCTCCTCTGAAGTTTTTTTCTTATATCTTGTAAATGTAAGTAGGGCCGTTCCAGCTTTATCTCTGTACACTTAGCAAGTCAGAGGCACTCATCTCTCAACATACAGATCCTGTAAGGTTTTGACTTCATTTCTTTTTATAGCGTTCTTTTGTGAGGCTGTATTTAAATAAAGTTAGACCTGGGCTTTTCTAGGAAAGAAGTCATTTCTGTTTCTTCTGTCAGACTTGCAGAGATGCCTCTGAACTACCCACTATATTTTTTTCAGAATCAGGTCTATCTTGCATTGGCTTTCATTTGATATGGATCCAGGACTGATTTTGGTGCTGCAATAGAACATCTTTCTCCTATCTCCCACATCACATTTCTCTGCCAGTCACGAATTCGCTTCGCTTCGCATGCATACACTTGCTTAATCTCTACATGAAATCATTACAACTCGAAGCTGACGTAGTCTCTCAGAACGATCCCCAAACAGTAAATCACGGCATATTCCACGTTCTTCCCACTCTGCACTACACAATTTAGTACTTAAAAGAGAGGTAGGCAGAAAACGCACTTGAACTCGGCAGTGAATCACAAGACAGACAGCTGGTAACAAAGCCCTTACCTTTTTAAACGCACGATGGTCTCTAAGTGGCACAGAAACCGTAGCCCGAAAAAAATGCAGGTCTCCTGCCTTCCGATGCAGGGTGACAGCTGACACCCTATTCCCTTCCCCTCGCTCCTTCCACCACGCTACATATAGTTCATGGTGCTGTTGCCGGGATTGGCTGGTGCATCTCCGAGGCGCACACAGGACCGTGCCTGGAGCACCCGCAGCCTCCTTAACCCTTTGCGGGGAGGGCTCCCCTCCCTGCGGGAGCCCCGGGGGGCTGATTTCCCTTCCCTGCAAAACGAGCTGCCCTGTCCTGCCCAGGATGGGGAGAGGATGGAGAGGACGCGGCTGGTGATGGGGTGGGGGGGGGGGGGTCCCGCAGCCGGGACCGGCGCTGTCGGTGCTCGCTCCGCCCGGACCCGGAGCCCCTCCTGCTGCTGCGGGCGGAGGGTCCCCCCAGCCCCCGCCTCTCCCAGTCCCCTCCCGCCCCTTCCCTGGTCCCTGGCCCCGGCTGGACCCTGACACGCATCCTTAAAGGGTTTCACCCGTGCCAGAGCCATATCCCCGCGTGTCCACCCGCCGCTGCCAAGACTGGAATTTAGGAAATTAACTCCCGGCCAAATGGGAGTCCCAAAGCCACACGGCCTCAGGGGAGATGGAGGCAGCCAGAGGAGGTGGAGGTAATCCTTAGCAGTGAGAGACACAGGCAAGCAGGGAGCCTGGACACCTAAATACAGGGAAGAGGGCTGTTCGGGAGCATTCCCTCGGGAATGGGCCGCTGGGCTCGGGAGGTATTTACACACCACCAATCTATGGTACGAAAAGCAAAAGAACCACTATAGCAAAAGGAAAAAAAACCGCCTGGCTGCTGCCCGGTATTCCTTTTTTTTTTTTTTTTTTTTTTTTTTTTCTGAGTCATCCAGCACGATGCGAGCAGAAGGTATCGCTGGGCTGGGAGTGCGGAATGCTGGAAATCAAGGGCAATGGGAATCTTCTCTATTAAGCACGCCTGACGCTCGCTTGTTGCAATCGCCCATTAAGCCCATATTAATTGCATTAATTTACTAGGTGGTGTAGGCAAAGGGTTTGGTGTGTTTGTGTGTGTCCTCGCCTCCTGCTGGGTGTAGAAACGCCACTCGGTCCAACCTGTGTCACTTTTCCTGCCCAGACACCGTTTTACTGCCAGCCGTCACGGTGCCTGTGAGCTACGCAACTCCGCTGCCCTCACCCTGTGTCCTACCATCTCCCACCCCCGCCGGCAGAGGGAATATCGAGTGCTCTTAAACCCGGGAAATATTCTGCTGATGGGCACACAAATCTCTCCTGCAGAGCGCTGGCATTTTAAGGCAGCAAGACGAGGCGATGCTCACCAGCTGAGCTATTCCCATGGCAAGTTAAATAAATCAAATCCCTCAGGACTTCCTGGCTTTTGGGTGTTAAGGGAAAAAAAAAAAATTATTCATGGTCAGGTAGAGGTTTTGACACGCGCTCTAATCCTCTCTGCCTAGGGAGGGAAGGGAGTGTGACTGCAGGGAAACTTTCCTGAGCACAGCGGTGCGGGAGGATCCCGGCAACAGCAGCGCCAGGGGCGGCTAATTCGGGAGACGTGTCTGGGATTTGGGCGATCACCCCAGACTCGTGGAAAAGGCCGGGTCAGGAGGGAGTCGGGGCAGAGGGGCAGGTCGGTGGGAATGGGAAAACCGCCTGGAGGACAGTCTAGGGGAGAAGGACACTCAGCTGGAAGGAGATGTGGGCATGGGGGCTTCGAGCAGGTGGGAGAAGCGAGGAGCTGGAGGAAGGGTGGATTTTGGATCCCACGCTTGAAGGGCTTTTTCACTGCCCCTTTCCTGACATCAGCCAGCGATTCGGAGCAATTGGGAGTGGCGGGGGAGGGGAGGTAGAAGGAAGAGCAAGGGGATCAGCACACTCAGGCACTGAAGGGGCCATTGGTCTTTCCCATCTTCTGCTTTATTGCCACCGCGCAGTAAATTCGGATCCCGTGTGCGTTTCTCACTGGCATCTCCACCTGCTCGCAAGCCTTTAGCAGCCTCCCTGTGATCTCGGCATGCACTGCTTTGGAGACACGGCTGCGCACACGGACACACACACACACACAGGGGCACACACACACCTCCCCTGCACCCGAATGACAGCTACACGCAGCCACTCAATACCTCCCAGCCAGGGGGAACATGTTTCCTCCCTACCTTGTGCTATTGACCATGGGTGGATCCCTGGCGCTAATTAGAGACGCAGAAATCCTCGAAGTATTAACCACAAATAGGGCTTTGGAAGGCACTCGTCCTTTTTTTTTTTTTTTTTTTTTTTTTTTTTTTTTTTTTTTTTTTTTTTTTTTTTTTTTTTTTTTTTTTTTTTTTTTTTTTTTTTTTTTTTTTTTTTTTTTTTTTTTTTTTTTTTTTTTTTTGACTTAGAGTGTTTATTTCCCTTGGTTCTTCTATATTTTTCAAAGTAAAGAAGTCCCTGCTTGATCCAGGAGACACTCTGGGCCCCAGGTAGATACATATACAGGGTGTAGGTTTTGGGAAGACGACACCTCTCTCCTGCCCTGCGCTCCTCGGGCCGACCGAAAATACAGGTGTACCCCAAAATAGTAGTAAGTAAAATCAGGGGCTGTGAGATTGAGAAAATGCGGGAAGGGCACGGAGCGAGCAGCGGCAGTGGCAGGACAGAAGCCCCGCAGCCGCAGGGCAGGAGCCCCCACAGCCCCCGCTAGAGACGCTGCCACCTCCCAGCACACGCCACGGGACTAGAAATCCTTTCCTACCCTTCTGGAGAACCCTTCCCCACCCCCAATCCAATCCGAGTTCTTCAGGGGATCAGGAAGAGCGATGAACTTTTCCACCTGATCTCTCCCCCCCCCCCCCCCCCCCCCCCCCCCCCCCCCCCCCCCCCCCCCCCCCCCCCCCCCCCCCCCCCCCCCCCCCCCCCCCCCCCCCCCCCCCCCGCGGATTCCCAGACATCCCTCAGGCGCGCTCACGGCTCCCTCAGCCCCCAGCAATTCTGTCCTTTCCCCTACACGGGGAAAGCACTGAGCCCTTCCAGCATCCACGGCTCCGTCTGCAAGGGTTTAAACCAGGGAACGGAGCGGGGCCGGTGCCCGATGGAAACACGACTGGGATGTGGTGAACGAGCGGTGAAATGGGGACGGCTCTGGGAGCGGTGCCGCGGTGAGCGCTGCCAACAGCGCCGGCGATGGATGTGGGCACAGGACTGGTGCTTCCTAATTCCTTCCAGTTCAGAAAGTGGAGCCAGCTCGTTCGGGAGCAAGGCGAGGCGATACTTTTTAATTATTTTTTTTTTCCTTCTATTTATTTCTCCCCTGTCGTTTAGCGTCCTCTCTGCTGGAGACGCGCCACCTGAACGCGAAATCAAACCTACTCACCGGGTGAAATTGCAGGAGGCGAAGCGGCTGTGAGCAAAACGCATCCCGGCTCCGAGCACATAGTCCATGATCTGCGGCTTCAGGCTAGAGCAGGGCTGAGCAGGGCGGGGGGATTTGGGGAACCGGCAGCAGTGTTGTGTGTGTGACAACCCATTTACACCGTGCGTGTCTGTCTGTCTGTCTGTCTGTCTGTGTATGTGTGTGTAGGGCAGAGAGAGGCTCCAGACTCAAAGCGGGGAAAGGAGGGGAGGAGGGAGGGAGGAGAGAAAAGGAGGAGGAGGAGAGAGGGAAGCAAACCCGAATAGCGAGAGGAGTTGCGGAGAGGAATGGGATTTGCTGGGGTGGAGGTGGTGGTTTTTTGGTTGTGGTGTGTTTTTTTGGTGGTTTTTTTTTTTTTTTTTGGTGGTGATGGAAGCGATTCTCGAGGAAAGAATAATAAATTGCGAGATCTCAGCAGCAGGCAGGAGGAGAGGGGCTTTGCCCTGGCAGGTGGAGCACAGACAAGACCGCACCGAGCAGTGGGATGCTGGGGCGAGCCGGGCGGGCCACAGCGGGCCGAGGGGGGCTCAGCTGCCGGCCGGGGAGCTGGGGGTAACGCTGCTCGGGCTCGGGGTTCGGGGGGCTCCGACACCTCCCCCGGGGCGTGGGGGGACGGCACAGGGTGCGCGGGGGGGGGCGGCGGAGCGGGGACAGCGACACAGCCGGAGAGGGCTCCAGCGAGCCGCAGCGGCGACATCGACCGGGTAAGAGCATCCCAGCCTCCTGCCCGGCACCCCCACCCTCGGCCAACCCTTTGTTTCACAGCCTTTTATTTTATTTATTCCGCAGCCCGGCTGCCGGAGGGGCTCTCCCCGCATCCCCCCATCCCGGCCGGGTTCGCTGTCCGTCCGTGCCCGGGCAGGGATGGGCTGCAGGTCCTGGAGCGGGGAACAGGCTTTGGGAGCGGCGCGGGGAGGCGACATCGCGGCAAGGAGCCTTTGCGGGGGAGGGAGGGTGGGCAGAAATGTCCCTGCTCATCACCCGTGCCCCTCTCCTGCCCTGGGTAAGAGGAGCATCTCCCATTCATCTCCCTCTTCATCCCCCACCCCGGTCCCCCCGCCCGCCTTCCTTCTCGGCGCTTCCAGGCTCTCTGTATGGAAATCACGAGCTGGCTGGGTGGAAAAATCTCCCTTTTTTTCGCGTGGTAGCTCTGGAATGTGTGCGGAATCTAAAGGTGTGCGGGGGAGAGGGAGGCAGCGCCAGCATTTATGGAGCTTGGTGTGTGTGTGTGTGTCCCCCCACTACGCCCCGTCCCTCTCCTCCATCCTTGCCGTGAGCAGACACTCATTCATGGATAATAAAAACGCTTTTCCCTGTGTATAACTGGGCTGAGAGCTACGCTGAAAGCCAGTCCGTGTTCGAGAACAGCCTGCAGATCAACAAGGAGCTTTGGCATCCCTGCAGCGTAGCCCGGCTGTGCTCACCTCATGCTTCCCCAGGATCAGTAAGCACACGAACCATACCGATTATGTGATGTATACGCTGGGCAGTGTGGGGTGATCACACCAGCCCTTGTCTGCTGTGCTACGTGTGGTCTTCAAAAGAGATGGTAATTTCTGTGGAGCTTTTTGATCAAGAAAGTTTCTGTCTTCTCTCCATTGCCTCTGTAAGCACCAGTTCATGTCCGTTGGCCAGTCTGGCAGTTTTATGTTTCCAGAGTCTGTTGAGAAATATTCTGATACCACAGAAACCCAGGATTCCTCTGACATCACGTTGGTTTGTTCCTGTCAGCGTGTTTAATCATTTTTATGCTAAATGAGCTGATCTTGGCAACGATTTGCTCTGCTTGGGGTTTTATTGACTTTCTCGTTAGCAAGGAGGTGAGAAAAGGATTGAAGGAAGGATATTCCAGAAAAAAAAAAAAATGCAGTGTCCATTTCGAGGGATGTGAACACGTTAAATATGTAGGCATAGGTATGATGCCTTATGTAGTTATAAAAACGAAAGACATGCCATCTTGCCTCTTTGCCTCAGAATATGATTTCTCTCACAGCAACAAGTAGCACAGGCTCTTCTCTCCCCTTTTCTCCTCCCCTTCAGCCCCTCCTGACAAAATGCCAGTTATAAAGGTCAGCCTGTTTATGTAAAGACTGTGTGTCTCTTAACAAAGCCTGCTGCGCATCAAGCCTGCAACGACTATCAAACAGACTTGGGATTCAAGACACTCAATAAGAGCACTGTCCATTTTCCAGGACTGATGAAATCCCGGGGAAAGCAGAAGACAAAGAGCCGTAGTGTGTGGCCGGGGTAGGTCACCAGCGCCAGGGTGTGCACATGGGCAGCAGCGTCCTCATGGCAGTGTTTGGTGCTGCAAATGTTCCCAAGACCCACTGGAGCTGTAGATACCTGTATATGTGTGTGTGTGTGTGAGAGAGAGAGAGACTGTATAAAAAGAGATTTGCTGATATGCTAATGCTTTTCTGCTTTTCTCTTCAGGTTTCTTCCTATCTCGAATGAATGGTGGCCTTGGAGCTGAACTTGCTTTGCAGCTCCTTCACACCAAAGGCAGCTTAAACCAGCCAAGGAGGATTTTGAGTCTGACCAACCCCACCCTCCCAATAAAAGAGAAGAGATCGACTTCATTAGGCTTTGGCTTCACAATGAGGTGTTTTCCTTTCACAGCACCCAGAGGTGCAGTGGACATAGTCTGATCTTTATTTCACTGTTCTCCCTTTCCCTCCCTGTCATCTTCTTTCACCTGAAGAGCAGTAACAACTTGGTTTCCTCAACTAGTATAACCTCTGCTGGTCCTTTTCCACTTCAAATCTGATAAGAATATTCTGAGATTATTCACTTCATAGAATTATAGAATCACAGAATGGTTTGGTCAGAAGGGACCCTAAAGATCATCTCATTCCAACCCCCTACCACAGGCAGGGACAACTCCCACTAGACCTTTTTTTTTTTTTTTAACCTAAAAGTTAAAAAAATTACTTTATAATCACAACACAGATTTTTTACAGTGTAAACTCCAAGACCTGATTGCCACCACAGCTCACTTTTAGCCCTTAAAATCACCCTGAAGCAGAGTTAAGGGGTTGTAGAGGACTATGATGCTTTTTTGTTCAGTGGTGTTAATAATCTATGGCCTCAGAATACGATATTACAAAGTCTCATCCTCAGGCAGAATAATGACATCTCAAACAATGGAACGGGCCAGAAACTTCTATCGCTCCCCAAAATGCTAAATGCAAACTGGGACCCAGTCGGAACTGAGGAGCTGCCCAGCATGATGTGAGAGGGGAGGGGCACTTCAAGTCCTCCAGTACTAAAAGCCTCGTGGCCCTGAATTACAGGCCATGAGATTCCTTTTGTCCTGTAAATCTGCATTAAATAGCAGCCTGATTCTGTGTTGATAAACACAGGTTTTAACAGCTTATCCCATAATATTTTAAATTTTTTCTTCATTTCATATAATCAGCCTTCTGACCCTTTTTCTCCCAGGACCTGCCTCATGCTTCTCTCTAGCTACTGAAAAATGCACGTGATTTATTAAGCCACTTCAGTAGTTCCTCTTTAGTTTCTAACAGACAAACTTATTATGCAAAAAATAATACTGTCACCTCCTTGCAGTGCCTTCCTTCTCCCGGCTGTAATGAATTCCCTGCATGCTACTCTGCTGTAAATTCTCCATCTAAAAATTCCATGCACTACGTGTTTTGTCAGTGGAAACCGCACTTGACTTTTGAAGCAGTTGGGAGGAGCAAAATGATAACCTGCTAAAGTGCCTTGCCCTTAACTGAAATTATGGCAAGTAATTAAAGTTAGAGCAAAAAGACTTAAACTTTGGACTGCTTATGTTCTGAGTGGTTTTTTCTCGGATGAGGGTTGTTTTTTTTTTTTTCCTTTTTTAGAAGTCTGATTTGAATGTCAAATTTGCATATTCATCTAGGAAACACAGGGAATGCTTAATTGCCTGTGTGTCCAGTGTTCATATTTTGCTTGGGAGACAATGTTTCACATACTCGTGGGTTTCTTTTCTAGTCACTATTTGCATCCATAAATTGAACTGTGTATCTAAACAAGTCCTGTATTTTGCTCATTATACAACAAATATTTAGAATTTTGCTTTAGAATCGTATTAGAGACACCTGGAATTGCAGGACAGCCCGGGTTGGAAGGGAAAGGGAGGCTAGATGAGATTATCTACAGCTCTGGAAGCTGTTTTGACTCAGGGCATAGACCACTCACCTTGGGGACACCCCAAACCTTTGTGAACTGTTGTCCTCGTCGTTGTTCCCACCCTCTGGCAGAGCCTGGTGCCTGTTGTCCGTGGGAGCAGACACTGCCACTGCAGCGCTGCGCTGGGTCTGGCTGAGCTGGGGTTGGTTTGCCATCATCTTCCTGCCCTTCCTTTGACCCCTCTCTTGTCCTTCTGCTTCTTTCTTGAGCTGTGAGGACACGATGGACACGACGCCAGGTTTCTTCCCCAGGCTCTGGTGGGGGGGTTGGAACCAGTTGGTCTTTAAGGTCCCTTCCAACCCAAACCATTCTGTGACTGGAGGTGCAGCATGACAGGTGATGAGTAGGATGGGATGTCCCCACAGAGGCAGCCCAGGACCCCACCTGCCTTTTAGCCACAGCAGGCACTGCTGACTCACCATCGCTCCTTGTCCACCAACATATTTCGACCTATACATTCCTGCTTTAGCAGAGATATGATTCACTGGAATAAAATTATATCCACTGAGTTTTTCCTCACTTGCAGAGGAGATTATTTTTAGGAACTCCCAACATTTCACTTGCAGAGGAAGGACTGGTACTGTAGAATTTCTTTAATTTCTCCCCGAAAGCTGAAGAAATACAGGGTGTCTGCCTTTTCACTTGCCCTATCCTTTGGCAGCAGGGAACAAAACTCAAAGGCTGGGTGTTTTTTTTTTTTTTTCAGGCTCTTGCTATCATTAAAGCACCAGTTTTCTGAGATAAAACAACCTCTTTGAAGAGATGGTATTTACTGTTTTCTGATGGTATTAATTGCAAGACCTGTAAGCTCACTAGACACAGCCTAGGAGGAATCTTTTTTTCTATTTTTTTAAGTTGAGACGTATCCTGGCCATGTTTCCATGACCAGTGGCCATGCAGGCATTTTTAAAATCACCTCTGACATATTCAGGTATTCCCTTTTTCTTGCTAGCCAGACTTCAGACCATCACAGAAGTCTCTGTTGCCTTCAAGAAAATTAAAGAGGAAAAAAAGTAATGCAGGAGACACATTTTAAACCATATTGAAGTGTTGTGGTGGAGAGTCCCTATGCATCAAGTGCCTGTTTTCCCTAGGAAAAAAATATCCAGTGGCTGCAGTATGCCAGTAACAGAAAGAATATCCTGGGGAGGAGGCGTAACGTGTACTTCCAGTAGCTGATATGGTGGATATAGAATGGAGGCCTCCCCAAAAAGGGGAGAGAAGAACAGGTACCAGGGAAAGTCTCAGCTGATGCTTTGCTGTGTCAGGGAATTGCACACCAGAGAGGCAGAGTTTTACTGAGTTTTAGGGTGGCTACGCTGTGAAGGGAAAAAAAAGCTTGTTAGAGAAAGCAATTTGCATTTGGAAAATAGATTATTTTACAGATACTGGTTCAAGCTGATAGTCATTCCCTGAATAACATCTGGTGTATTATCTCGATAGATCTTGTTATCTCCTGTAGAAATGAGCCGAGCAAAAGATCTGGAGTGAGATTTGAAAATAACCTTTGTTATTATATGTCATTAACTCCCAAGAATCAAAACACACAGCCACTAATGACAACGGGCAAGAACAATACAGTTTCTTGAGCAGTGTGTTCCACACGTTTCCACTCTTAGCATGCACTTAAAATACTGCAATTTTAGGAGCATTTGTCATTTGCCTGAGCCGTGGAGCTA